GTGCTGCACTCAGTGGCCACAGGCACAGGCGGCATCCACGCGGCCACCAAGATGGCGCAGAGCTGGAACGCGAAGCCCGCCAAGCCAGACGGCGAGCCGCCGTCCACCATCCAGCAAAGCCTGCAGACGCTAGTGGACGAGTGGTCGGGTCACTGGGATGTGGCGGCACCAAGTGAGCAGGAGCTTGCGAGGCACCGCATCGCATGGCCACAAGATCTCGGAGAGCGCCCTGACAGACCTTCAGTTGCTGAGCTGAGACGGTAATCGCGTCTTTCAGGCCTCAGTCTGGGTCCAATTTCGACAGCGTACGGCCCTGTGAGTTCAATCTCATGGATGACCAAGGCATCGAGGCGCTCATTGATCTCATCATGGCCATTGAGGCGAAGGCCGACTGGCCCAGCTCTTTCATCGCGAAAATGGCCTTCATCCCCAAGGCTGACGGGGGCCTTCGTCCAATTGCCCTTCTAGCTGCGGTGGTACGTGTGCACGGAAGGCTCAGAAGGCCCCTCATGCAAAAGTGGGAGAAAGACAATGACAGGCCTTACTGGTGGGCATGTTCGGGTCGCGCCTGCGACAGAGCGGTGTGGCAGCAGCAGACGAGGTCAGAGTGGTCGCGATGATGGCGGAGCTGCACCCTGACCAGGACTGGGCCTCTGCCAGCATCCTGCTCGACCTGTGGAAGGCGTTCGAGCAAGTCTCTCATGAAAGCCCGGTGCAAGCGGCTACCAAGCACGGCTTCCCGCTGTGGCTGGCCAAGTTGCAGATCTCGCTGCATCGTGCGCCGCGGGTCCTGCACTTAGACGGATGCTGCTCGCAGGAGCTGCAGGTATACCATGCGGTGCTCGCAGGGGATGCGTTCGCCACGGGCTTCATGAAGCTCATGCTGCTGCACCCAGTCGACGAGATGGTCGCAAAGTTCGGGGCTGTTGCGCCAGCGATCGTGGTCGACGACCTGGTGCTGCAGCGCTGGGGCAGCACTGAGAGAGTGCAAGACGACTTGATAGGTGCCACACGGCACCTCGTGCAGCATTTGAAGCAGGTGAAGCTCAAGATCGCCGTCAAGAAGTCCAGGGTCCTAGGTAACTCTACTGGGGTCCGCTGCAATATCTCCAGGCGGCTGCTCAAGGTTGCTGGGGTGCTTGGCGCGCGCCACGCGCGGAACCTCGGCATCGATCATGCTGGGGGGCGACGAGCAGCTAGGGCGATTCGGCAGCAGCGGTTCGCCAATGTCGAGTTGCGCGTGGGTAAGGTGCGCAGTTGTCTGGGGCTACGGAAAGGGGGCGCCGCGGCTGCCAAGGCGGCCTACACTGGCTTACACCCTTCGGCCCTCCACGGCGTCAACTGCACAGGCCTCAACGAGAGCGAGCTGTCCAAGATGAGGTCCATCACTGTCAGAGCCGTGGAAGCCAGACCAGCAGGCAAGAGCGCTACTGCAGTGCTGATGCTCTCAGGGGCCAGGAACCTGGACCCCATTTTCGCCGCCGCGCTTGGGCCCGTAATGATTCTGGCTCGGGCGGTCTGGGAGCAGTGGATCCCGACGTCGATGCTCAAGTCAACCTTCGAGTGGAACGTGAAGGTGGCCAAGAACTGGTCCGACGTGCGCGGGCCGATCGGAGCCGCGGTCAAGTCGCTGCAGAGGATCGGCTTCACGTTGCCCGCCTTCACTGACTGGGTCTCCGAGGCTGGCGAGAAGCTCAATCTGGCAGTTCACTCGCCGTGGGCGGTGAGGCAGATCGTCGCCAAGGCCGTCGAGCACTGGCAGCTGGCGCAGCTGGCAGAGTCAACGCACTACGGAATTTCCGAAGCTAGGGGGGTCTTCTTGCCGCAAGTCCGACGGTGGATTTTGTCGGGGAGGGGCTCGACCAAAGTGGCGCGGAGTTGGAGGACCTTGACCCCTAGCGAGGCTGGGTGCGCCAGATCATGCCTGGTTGACGGTCAGTGGCTAAATGGGAGACGCTGTGCTGCAGACCTCAGCTCGTGCTCGGTATGCTCGCGGTGCCCAGACAAGCTAGGCACGCTGTGGCATCGGCATATGCAGTGCCAGGATGCATGGCCCAACCTCTCGCTGCCGGCGGAGCTGGAGCGCTTCAGGGGCATGGGCGACTCCACCACGATCAGGGCGCTGTTCGAGCGGCTGTGGCTATCCGAGCCACGCGCAGGGTGGGCGCCGCGTGGCGACGACCTCCTTGCACATGCGCAGTGGATCAAGGGCTACGAGGAGGGCGTGCCGTTTGCTGTTCCCGACTTGTACGCCGACGGCGCCTTCATCGACGGGGGCGCCCAGATCGCTTGTGCTGGTTGTGCAGTGGTGGCCCTCCCACCAAGTGGCGACAGCGCGGGCCCAGGGCCAGGGTCAGCCACGCGAGCCCTCGCCTCGCCACTGGCGGGGCCACTGCAGTCCATCGACGGGAGCGAGTTGCTGGCGCTCCTCCTGCTCTTCAAGTTCAGTCTACCACCAGTGACGGCTCATTTTGACGCAGCATTTGTGGTGGACGGGACCAACGCCCGCGGGCCAAAGGTGACTGCGAGCAGCAAGTCAGCATGGGCCGAGATTTGGGTCCGAGTATGGCACGCGATTCAGGATTTCGGAGGGCTCGGCGACGGCGGCCTGCGGGTTGTGAAGGTCAAGGCCCGCGCCTCGGTGCAGCGCGTGCAGGACGGGCTGGTCACAGCCAGGGCGAGGCGAGGCAACGTTGAAGCTCATCGGTGTGCCAAGTTCATCGCCAGCAGCACGGGGGCCACCGACGAGATCAGGCAGGTGATTCGTGCGAGGCAGACCATGCTTGATGCGGCGTTCTTCTGGGTCGCGATTGCTGGGAGCCAGGCGGCGGATGCCCGTGGAGATGTTGCTGATGAGGTAGCGGCCAAGCGGGAAGGCAAGATCCTCCTCCACCTCACGGGCCACGAGGTCGTCGAGGTACCCAACGGAGGCATGCACTGCCTGCGCTGCTTGAGGACCGCCTACAGCGCCAACATCAAGGCCCACTTCTGGGCCAAGCCGTGCGCGGCTAAGCCGTGCGCACCTTTTCACTCGGGCGGCTCTGTGAGGAAGAGGCCTGCTCGAGCGGCGCTGGCGACGGCGGCCGCGGCGGCCGCAGCTTTTGCAGCGCTGGCGGCCAGCGAGGCACGCGTGCAGGACGCACCGCCGCCCCCAAGGGAGCGCCGTTCTCGGGCCCGCAGCCCTGTGGGGGGAGCCCGTGGCCCCATTGCATGCAGCGGCGAGCCCAGGGCCAAGGTTCGCCTGGCGTTTCAGGGAAAGGTCGATTTCCTGCTTGCTGCTGCGACGGGCTCCTGCGCGAGCGGGACCGCGAGTGAGACCGACCGAGCTGACGGGGCACTCTCCGTTGGCGTCGGCGCTTGCCCATCGAGTGCCGCCTCGCCCATCTTTGAGCCTGCTCCCGCGCCGTCTGCCGCGCCCGCGGTCAGCGCACGGCGCGGCAGCGGCCCGACTGTACCCGCTGGCGGAGCTGGTGGTAGCTCGGGGGCGGACCCGCTTGGCGCCGAGGCCGACCCATAATCTTGTGCCTCCGCCGCGCCGCCTGCGCCCTCGGGGCCCCTCGCTGCCTCGGCCTCTGCGACTGCTGGCACAGGGATACCTGGGGTAGACGGCGGCGAGCACGTGCTGTGCACTGTCAATGGGTATCGCGTGTGCACACGCTGTCACTGCTATGCCCGCGTGATTGGCGGTAAGCATAGGGGCTTGTCTGCCGAGTGCAAGTTGCCCGAGACCGCTCGAGGCCTGCAGCGCCGCCTCGAGAAGGTCGCGAATGTCAGACAAGGGGTGCCACCGAAGGGGGCGCGCCCGACGGCGAGGGCAGGCTGAGGGGTCTGGCTTGGCAGCAGCGGGCTGGCCCTTTTGGCCAGCTCGTTTCCTTTGCTGCTCGGCTGCCCGAGGCTTTCGCCTGCCGCCGACAGCTGCCCTCGGCAGCTGTTCGAACCTGAGCTCGCGCCGCGCGAGCTTGGCCACACCTATAAAAAAGGTCCCAGTGCTACCGCCCGCATGCGTCTCCTCCCACCCAGTGCAGCGCTTCGTGGCCCCATGGGGAGCTCCACCGACGGCCCCAGCGCTGCAGCCCGCATGCGTCCCCCCCGCCCGGTACAGCGTTTCGTGGCCCCGTACGGAGCTCCACCTCCACCGCCCGCATGCGTCTCCTCCACCCAGTACAGCTTTTCGTGGCCCCGTAGGGAGCTCCACCGAAGGTCCCAGTGCTACCGCCCGCATGCGTCCCCCCCACCCAGTCCAGCGCTTCGTGGCCCCATAGGGAGCTCCACCGAAAGACCCAGTGCTACCGCCCGCATGCGTCCCCCCCACCCAGTCCAGCGTTTCGTGGCCCCGTACGGAGCTCCACCGACGGCCCCAGTGCTGCCGCCCGCATGCGCCTCCCCCCCGCCCAGTACTGCGTTTTGTGGCCCCCCAGGGTGCTCCACCAAAAAAGATATACACAATTGCGGTGCTCACAACTGCATATGGTTGGGTCCTTCGCCAGGATCATTTAAAACGAATGTGCGCAGCGCTAAGGCGAGAGCCACATTTTGAAAACGACCCGCCCCCCATTCGTGAAGCTGTCGCCTTTTTTTTGTGCTTCAGGGTCATAAGCGGAGAGGAGGTCTCAGGCGGAACGCCCGGCCCGCCCTCACAATTATCCAGGCGATGGCCTCTAGATCCGGCGGTGAGCGAGGGGGGGAAGTGAGAAGGAGAAGGCCTTCTCAGAAGGCGGCGGGGCTTCTCAGGAGGCCTCGGGCCTTTGAGAGAGGTTTTGTGCGTCTTCGGGAAGGCTTAGAAAACTTCCGAGAAGGCCTGGGCACTTCCGAGCCTTCTGAGAAGGCCCGCCCCTTTTCGCTTCACCCCCCCTCGCTCGCCGCCGAAAGATGGCCCCAGCCGCCCGAAAGATGCACCCAAAGGCCTCAAGAGGCAACATTCATGCGTTTTTGTATTTTCTTTGTTTTTTCGCTGTTGCGCGCTTCTGACAGCCCAAGACGATTCTGGCGGCCTCCTCCGCAGCCATGTTGCCTCAAATCACCTGGGCTGGAAGAGTGAAGCCGGCCCGTACACCGAAACGCCGGAGGATGCACAGCGCCGCCGCCGTCACAGTCGCCGCAGTTCCGTCCATAGCCGCTCGCACAGGTGCGTCGCCGGCGGGGCCTGGCGGGCATCTGCGAGGAAGACTGGCTTGGCGGTCGTGCTCAGCACATCTTGGAGCAGCGAAGCGAAAGATCGTGACCTTCGACACGGCTCCAGAGTGCTTCGGCCCCGCTGGCTCGGCAGAAGAGCTCGTCCAGGCGCTGCGGGGCGACCAGGGTACCGCAAGCGACGCGGGGCTGGGCTCTCCCGCCAGGGGCAGAGCCTGGCTGGGAGCTTCGGCTGTGTGGCAAGACAGCGCTCCACACAGCGCGGCAACGGCTGTGTTCGGCGACGCCAGTGCGTTCCCAGGTGCGAAGCAGGAGCAGGAGGACGACGCTGAATTGGCCGAGATCGAGGCGTTCGCTGACGAGCAGGCGCGGCGACTCATACCTCTGATCGACCAGCGGTGCGCGCGCCGGACTGCGACCGTCAGCATCGGCCGCGCGAAGCAAGCAGACGGCATCAACTTCCAAATGAAGACGTCCGCCCTGTGGCAGCGCAGAGGGATGACAGGGAGTGGCCAAGGGGCCCTCGTCTGTATGGTCGGGTGAGTTTCCCCTTCGGGATGGATGGGAAGTGGTCTTCCGAGGGCGGTGCCAACTGCCTTGTTTCACCGCTTGCACAGACGGGCTTGGATCCAGTGCTTCCCCAGATAATTCGTTATCGTTGCGCACTTCACAGCGAACTTTGTTTTCGGCACCGCGGTGCAGCGTGCAGCGCTGGATGTGATTATGGCTTCCTCGCCTCCTTCTGCGCCCCCCTCCTTGCTCTCCCACCGTTCTCCTTCTCACGGTGCTGGCCCTGAGCGGACGCCTGGCTGGCTGGAGATTTTATCGCAGACGCGGCCACGTCGCCTGGCCTGTTTCCAACAACGAGGAGGTCGCAATCGTCCAGGGTCATGCGTTCTATTGTGCATCGCCTCTCGCCCTGGGCGGGGGGAATCGACTCAGTCACCAGCGGCGGCACGCTTCTGGGCGAACGGGGGCAGCCTTCTGTCGTGTGACGGGTGCGGGGCCTCGCTCGGCACCGTCTGGCGAAAGCCTGGTCGCCCGCGCACCAGAACCGGCGAGCCATGGGGGGCGGCAGGTTCAGGGGCCTCAGCCCGTCCACCTCCTCCTCCTCCTCCTCCTCCTCCTCCTCCTCCTCATCCTCCTCCTCCTCCTCCCGTAGCCATTTTGGCTCAAGATGATGAGTCCCACAGGGGGACAAGTGGATACCGCTAGTCCGCGGCAGACAAGGCCACCTGTGGCCTGGCAGACAACCGCACCGACGTTTGCCACCACGGGTAAACGGAGGCCTTTCCCGTTCCTGTGGGCGCGAGCGTCACAGGTCTCCTCCCAGCTATGTCAGAGAAAGGAGGCTCGCCAGCAGAGACGCCACTGCGCGGCAAAGGGATCTCGAAGCGTCCTCCTCCTCCTGGCGAATCTGGCGGTGCTGCTGGCGGCAGGGCTGATCGCTCACGCTCGCCACCGCAGGGAGAGGAAGCAGACCTGGACGCCTACGCCACTATGGCCTACGTGCAGTCCCTCCAGTCCAAGATCGATGCTATGGAGACCTCAATCAAGGAGTCCATCAACGCCACCGTCACCACCGTGGTCGGCTCCGCGACCAACCCCATCTCGCTGGTGCTCAAGGCCGCCCAGGACGGCATCGACGGGCTTGGCGCCAATATCGAGAAGAACGTCCATCTCGCCGTCGGCCAACAGATCGACTCCACGAGGAAGCACTTCCAGCAGATGCTCGACGTGTTCAACATCCGCGTCGGCGAGGTCGAGGCCAAGCAGGAGAAGACCGACAAAGCCATCGAGCTCATGGCGGAGCAGATCAAGGTCTTGCAACGCGAGCTCGCCACAGCCAGCCAGCAGCCGATCAAGCAGCAGTACATCGGGCGCGACTTCGACCGCGAGATCGACGCCACCATCATCAAGGTCCACGCCGACGGCCTCGTCACCCTGGCCAAGGCCACCGAGTCCCTCACCAAGTTTGCGGTGGGCTGCGACATGCGCGAGTCTGACTTCACTGTCGCGGGAAATGACGCTGCCAAATTTTTCACCATCAAGTTCACGGGCCTCCCTGGCCCCGCCAGCCGCCGAGTGCAGAAGGTCCTGGACAGCATGCGCTCGTCCAACGGCACCTGGGTGCGCATCTACGCCGACGCTGTCTCGGGCCGCGGGGCGGTCGAGCTGCGGATGGGCCCCGACAAGTCGCCGACGCAGATCAAGACGGAGATCGCGGGGAAGCGACTCCGCCAGGCCATGGAACGCGAGTTCCCGAACCACGTCTGGCGAGTGGACCGCGCCAAGGCATGGATCACAGCAGGCTGGGCCCCCGTCATCGCGTGCAGCGTCCGCCCAGGCAGGGGCGAGCCGACCGTCCTCGCGTTCCAGGACGCCGGCCTGCCCGCGCTGGGCATCGACCGCGCGACTCTCAAGAACGCAGCCAGCGTGGTCGTCGCACCTGAAGCCGCCCCGCAATTTTGGCTTTGACGAGCTGGCGCGCAGCCAGAAGCGTCTCCCCAGCGGGCCGACGCCCTGCCTAGCCGTCGGCACGTGGAACGCCCGCGCTCTCTTGGGCTACCAGGGCAGACGCGTCGTGGAGAAGTCCTCGTACCTCAAGTCCATGCCGCTGCGCAAGATGGTCCTGGGCATCCAGGAGGTTCACCAGGACCACGGCCAGCTCCTCGCCTTCATGCGGAAGATCGACAGCACCCTTGACATGCACTCCTCCTTCGCTCTTGGATATCATGGCACTATCAGTGGCGGGGTAGCCGCTGTGTTCCCAGCTGGGATGAACGCCGTGAGCGACCCCATCTTCCCTGGCCGTGTCCTACGCTCTGTCTTCCGTGCTGGCGACCAAGTGATGATCTTCTACAATATCCACAATTGCGACCTCAGCAACGCCGCCATCCATAACATCACCACGCGCATCAACAACGACCTGCAGTGGGTGAGGTCCGACCCGAGCCGCAACGTCATGTTCGTCACTGGTGATTTCAACTTCTCCGCCGTCGGGAAGCTGAAGCTCCTGGGCCCTGTGGCAAAGGGCAACTCGAACCCAACCGAAACTTCCAAAGCATCGGCGCGCAAGTGGCACAACGCCCTGAAGCACCTAGTGGAGATCGGCAGCGCCGACGCCACGCACTACTGCCCCGAGACGAAGGCCGAGACCACCATCGACAGATGCTTCTGCTCGTTCACCCCCACACAGATGATGCAACTGGCTGTTGCGTCCTCCACCTTTTCCACGCCCGAAGATCTCTCGCGCCGTCGTGTCAGTGACCATGCCGCCCTCTTCGTCTCCTTCACGATGCGTGGCGCCAAACCCTCGCCGAACCAGCCGATCGCCCAGTACATTGTCAAGTCCCCCGTCTTCAAGGAGATTGACGACAACGTGTTCGCCGCCCCCCCCCATGGGCAACCTATCCCCGCCGACCAAGCTGATTCTGACCACCGACCTCCTTCGACAAATCGCACGTGAAGCTCGTGACCGTCTTCGTGAAATGCAACCGAACAGTGGCGACGTGCTCTTTCAGGTAGCGAAGTCGATCTCTCGGGCGGTCTGGCGCCGAGACCGTCAACTCGCTGCTCGCCTCCTTCGCTCGCGCCTAGTCGCGAAAGAACATATCCAGATCAACGGTGACAGCGTTGAGCTCATCGACCATGCAAAGTTCGAGGAGTGGGCAAGCAACCTCTTCCGCCAAGATGCTGAACAGCGTCTCGCAGCCATCGACCAAGCAGTTCAACGTGGGCGCCTCCGACCCGCTCAAGCGCGTGGACAAACCCAAGCCCTGCATCGGAAGCTCAAGCTCTGGAACCCGCTCAGCAAGCGTCTGGTCCTGACGGGGGTCAAGACCAGTGAGGGCACCGTGACGGGCCCCAATGAGCGACTCAAGAAACTTGTCGAGCACTGGCAGCCCGTCTTCGAGGGCAAGACCGTCGACTTGACCAAGGCCGCAGCCTACCTGAACCAGTTCTCGCCCACCATCGATTTCTCCAAGTACAAGCCGCCAGACTACGAGTCGCTCAAGAAGTTCGCCAGGCGCTCGTCTCCCACCTCGCCAGGCCTTGACGGACTACCGTACCTCGCCTGGTCCGCGCGCGAGAAGTGCACCGAGGTTCTCTGGGATGTCATGTGCTACATGCTCAACGGCGGGATCCTCCCCGACGAAGTGAATCTTGCCCAAAGGTGAGGAACCAGAGGACTCGGAACACAACGGCTGCCATCGAGACCCGTCCAAAGTCCGTGTCCTGGGACTGCGCAGCGCGCCCCTCAAGATCATCAGCGGCGCGATGAACGCTGCGACGGCAACGGTGGCAGCTGATGTAGTCCCAGCCTCACAGCGCGGGTTCATCCACCGGCGCAACTTCGGCTACAACATCCTCGAGCTCGACGCCGAGAGCCGCGTTGCCTCGGCCGACCCAGACGCCCAGAACATGCTGCCCGTGCTGGTGTCGCTGGACATCGCGCAGGCCTTTCCCAGCTTCGCCCGCCAGTTCATCCGTCTGGCGCTCGAAGCCATGGGCGCTCCTGAAGCAGTCCTCATGTTCTTCGACTCCATGTGCAACGACGTCCTAGCGATGGCCCCGAGCGCTGGCCAGTACGTCCCGCTTTTCTACATCAGGTCGGGCATCATCCAGGGGTGCGGATGGAGCGGCACGCTGTACGCGCTGGGCACTGCATGCTTCCTCCTCAACCTCGAGACCGTCCTCGAAACCCAAGGCCGTGGACTTTGTCGAGCATGCGCTGATGACCTTGGACTCGTCCTTCGGGCCGTTGCCTACCTCGTCTACCTCGCGGACGTCATGCTCTGCATGGAAATCTTGGCTGGTTTGGAGTTGAAGGCGCCGAAGTGCCACATCATCCCCTTGGCAGGCCAGGTCAATGCTGACCTCATCCTCAAGCTCAAGAACGCGCTGCTTGCCATTGTCCCGAAGTTCAAGGACTTCAACGTATGCGACCGCCTCACCTACCTCGGCCTCTTGCTGGGCCCTGGCGCCACGGACCAGCTCATCTACGCGAAGGCCTTCAACAAGTACCGCTCCCGAGCCATGGCGCACAGCGCGAGCGACGCGCCAGCCGTCGGGGCCGTCTCCCTGTATAACGGGCGTGCGCCCCCCGTCCTTGGCTACCTTGCCCAGGGCGCCTTGCTCCCGCACGAGCACTTCAAACGCGAGAGCTGGATCAACGCCTCCGTCCTGCGCTTCCCGAACGGCGCCTTCAGGCTGAAGGACTGGCCCTCTCTGAAGAATTGGGGAGTTCCCGCGCCGAGGTCGCTCCAGCTCAGCATGATTGCGACGATCGTCCGCGCGGCGACATCGACATTCAAGAAGTTCACCGAGATCCGCGAGAGGCTGCGCGAAGGCTTGAACTCCTACGGCATCCAGCAGACCCTTGAGGGCGCCGCGCGGGGTGTCCTCCATTTCTCACCGCCGTGGTGGAAGACGCAGGCCTTCGTGGATACGATGCGCCGGATCGTGTCGGCCACCTCCGACCACGCGTACTACCCCCGCCAGCTCTTGGCGCCGGCGGTCGAGGCCTCGCGGGCGGCTGTCGCCAACGGGCAGCCTGGCCTCGCGCAGAAGCACGCCTTCGCCTCGGCCTTGGCCACCCGCGGGCCCGACTGCATCGGGCCCTTCCTGCAGGACCGCATCGTGAAGGAGCTCCCGCACGCTGGCGAGTTCTTCCTCCGCAACCCCTCCATCATGAACGACATCCAGGCCGCCATGAAGAGACTGCCCCCATCGTGGGCGACGGCGTGGATGAGGACATTATCCTTTTCTTGGCTCACATCCTACCGCATCGCCTACCCGTGCGGTAGGCGCCTGTGCATTTTCGGCTGCGCCAATGGCCAAGACAAGATGCGCCACTACCTAGTCTGCGCGCCGCTGGCGCAGGCTGTGGGACGTGCATGCGGCGCGCCCCCCCTCTCCACCGAGTTCGCGAAGCTCGGGCTCATCGACCAGAGCAACGAGAGCGCCGAGTCCATCGCGGTTGCCTGCCTCACGTGCCACGCGCTCAGGCAGGAGACCCACGTCTCGGCGGAGGCCACCCGGTCGGCCGCTAGGGCGGCATTGCGGGCCACGAAGACCATGAAGAAGCCGCCGCCCGTGCTGCGTCACCACCATCGCCGCCGACGCGAGGGGGCGGCGCCTGGACACGGACATCCACCTGCACCTGATCGGCATCGTGAGGGAGATGCCGGCGTACATCATCCACTTCGGCTCCGTGGAGCCGCCGCTGATCACGTTCAGCTTCCAGTTCGCGTCCGAGGAGATGTTTGGCATCCTCCTCCTGGCGCGCTACCTGTGAGCAGGTAAGCGCGTGCGCGGGGGCTGCTGACGCCGTGCGGGGCGCGGCCGTCGGGGGCCTGGAGCCTTCCCCTCCGCACGCTCGACTCCTCCTCCTCCTCCTCCTCCTCCTCCTCCTCCTCCTCCTCCTCCTCCTCCTCCTCCTCCTCCTCCTCCTCTCCTCCTCCTCCTCCTCCTCCCCTCCTCCTCCTCCTTCCCTCCTCCTCCCTCCTCCTCCTCCTCCTCCTCCTCCTCCTCCTCCAAGGCCCTGGACCTGTCGAGAGCCAGAGGGGCCTTCGCCTCGGCACTTTTTGCACAAGCTCCGAGCTTCATGGGGGGGTGTTTTGGGTGAAGGATCGGCGATGCCGCCCGCGTGTGCAGAGCAAGTCGCTCCGCGCGCCTCTCTCGGCCCAAGCGGCCTAGGCGCGAGCGCAGGCAGTCGACCCTGTCTGTTTCCATCGCCAGAGCCATCTCCACCCCCACTGGGACAGGGTACGTCAGCGCTCCCAGCGCGCCCTCCCCAGGCAGGTGCGGATGGGGGCTGGGGAACTCGAAGGAGACGGAACCCATGCCCACTTAGGGGGTTAGGCGAGCGTTCCTTTGGTGTTTGGTTCACGGTGCTTAGTTTGTTGCCTTCCCTGTTTTTCTGCTGCTGACCCAGCGCTGAGCTTGGGTCCTCGTGGGACAGTCAGAGGGTCCTCGTGGGACCTTGTTCGAATCAGCGCACGCCATCGAGGCTTTGATGCAGCTGGCCTCAAGCCTTCTGCCGGGGTGCGCAAGGAACGGCGCGTAAGTGTCTTACTCCATCCTTTCCTTGGCCCACGAGGTGGGTCTTGATACACCCAAAGTCAGTCACGAGCGAACGCCTACGAGATATGTTTTTTGCTCGCTTGAGGGATTGTGTCACCGTGCAGCACTCGACGCGTCTGCACCATATGCTCATCCTCTCTGCTCCGAGATTGTGGCAGCACTTCTTCAGCGATCCAGTTTGTGATGCAGCATGAATTCGAAATCCCGTGGTTGGGAGTCTTGCGGCTGGAGCTCCCTGGAGGAAGTGGAGGTAGAGGAGGTGGGGAAGGCGAGTCGGATAGAGCCGGGAGGAGTCTCCTGGGGAGCTTGGGACAGCTTGCAAGTTTCTCAAGTCTGATTTTGTTGGTGTTCGATTGCGGGGGGAAAGAGGAAGTCGGTTGAGACCCCCCGCATCACCCTTTTCGTTAAGATAGAGGGTGTCAAATGAACATTTTTCTCGCTGTCGAATGCCAGTTTGGGGATCGACTGCAGCAGCTCCTGCGTCCAGCGGCCGAGGCGAATCAGGAACATACAGTGCGGCGCTATCCGTCGGCGTAGTGCTCGTCTGAAGTCCGGCGTGGTGCGCATACCCACGTAATCGTTTTGATTCTTCAGGCTTACGCCACATCCGCCGACCCCTTAATTGAAGTCAATGATCAGATGGTTCGAAACCGTTTGGCGGTCGTTTTGGGGTTCTTGTCGGGTTTCTTGGGAGCTTTCTGGGGCCTGAGGGGGAGGGAGCTCTCCGGGGCCTGAGGGGGGCATCTTTGGGGCTGTTCGGGCTACTCCTGGGCTCGTCTTCGAGCTCTCTTTGGGCCTCGTTTTGATTGCCCCGAGCGCTTGCCTTTGCGCGATGCCCGCGGGTGCACCCCGTTCAGTGGCCCCGGGCTGCCAGCGCCGCTCCTCGGGGGCCCGCCTTCCGGCGGACACCGGCGCCGCGTGTCGCCTCGCCCAGTCAGCCCGATGGTCCTTCTCCGGAGGGCACCAACTATACACCTACACCGATCCAGCCCAGGCCGATCCTAGGCCCAGTATCGGTGTATACGCATTCTGCCCATGGCAGGAGGGCGTATACACCGATCCTGGGGGGCCCAGGTTGATCTGGGCCAGGATCGGTGTTGGTGTATAGTTGGTGCCTCCCTACTTCTCCTGCTCGTGCGGGCGACGTCCACAGGTGGTCGCTTCGCGCCTCGTCCGTCGCCGTAGGCATCGGGCTGGCTTCTGCTTCAGGCCGCTGGCAGCCATGTCTGTTGGCGCTTTCTGCGCCACCCTCCGTGGCAGGCAAAGTCCTGGGTTCAGGAGGCGTTGACGTGGATGCCAAAGAAGCCCGGCGCAGGCCTCGACGCGGCCACCGGTGCGCCCGTTCGCCGTCATGCGAACGGCA